GGAAACTAACGTTTAAATTTTCCTAATTAAAAAAATGAATTAATGATTTATATTGTATTAATTATTTATGATAAGGTATGTGGAATAATCATTAGAAATTTAGATTTGATTTTGATTTTATTGTTGTAGTAGTTTCTATTTGCTAGATATTCTCGATATTATGTTTAATAGTATTTAAAATTAAATATTTGATTTCCATATCTTTGAAACTCAAATCTAAAAATTAGGGATGTTTAGTTAGTTAATTTATTGTCGATTTGTTTCTAAAGAATTTCAAATATAAGATTGCAATCTTTCCAAATATATGGCTATTTATTAGGAGCATTAATAAGAAAGATTATTTAGGATTAAAATAGGTAACTTAAATATGGATAATAAAAGAATTAATTTCGTTTTAATAAATGTATTAGTGTTATACTTATACCCGATTGCCATAAAATCAGGTCGTTTTAAAGTCGATTTGTTTAAAAATTTCCTAAAATTCCTTATCCAAGATCCGGATAGAGTTAAACCCGGGTAAAACCCGGATCCAAATGAATTAATGCAAAAAATACCCTGTAAAAATGTATATGTAGATTACACATTTAGATATTGACCCGTGGGACAATTTTGACTTTTTAATTTTGTTCTTCATAAATTTATGATTTTCGTAGTATATAAAACTGATTGGTGGTGTATGGTTTTTTGATAAATTTAGCTCTTATAGTTAAATGTAGTATTATTTATATTCATATGTATGACAAAATATTTCTTAAAGTAAATAAAAGGATTTGTAAAATTATTCACATACCAAAAATTCTGCCCATTTTCATGGATACGGGATCTTTGTTTAAACTGAAAATTATAGATTTTTTTTTCTTTTGATTTTTTGAACTTTTTATTAAAGTAAAAAAAGTATTTGTAAAATAATTCACAAACCAAAAATTCAGCCCGTTTCTATGGAACAATAAAAAGATTACACCAATTCCAAATCATTTTTTTCAAAAGTGTTTAGTAGCTCCGATCTATAAGAATAAAGCAAGAGCCTTAAATTAACACATCAAATACCAAAAGCAGAGTATAAATAAATACTTACATGTCAGAGCAAATATCTTGGTGCATGAAAGTCAAATATTAATTGAAAGAATACGGTTATTTGAAAGAGCAAACAAACAAAAAAGCAAACATTGGCTTTCACATGTTCTCCTCAGGTACACATAATCCAGCCAAACATCTTCTTCTTGCAAACATAAAACATATAACGAAACAACAATATTTAATATACAGAGGAAATCTCTTCATCATATTTGAAAACAGTCACTAACCCTTACATGTATACCATCTCTTCCTCCACTGACTTCCCTGCGGATCAAAGACCAACCTTAGAACTGCTTTACCCTCTTGTCCTTATGCTCCGGAAATCATTGTGCGAATTATGATGCTATCAAACTGCTCGTCGTCCTTCCTTCTCAATTCCAATTATCTTCATGTGTGAGTTTGAATGCACAAATGGGACGAAGGTCGGGCTTGAGGCTGGTCGGTAATAAAGCGAAAATTTCCAATTCCTGAATCCAAACACTAAAAATGAAAATATAACATTATATACTAAAAACGGAAACTGAGATTTTAAAAGAGAATAAGCCTAGCTTACCATCATCCTCTAAAGAGAAAAATAACAAAGCGTTTCACATGCAAACCCAGATTAATAATATAATTAGACTATTTTCACAATCTAATACATTATTGGTAATTAATATCTGAATAATGGAAATATAAATGCAGGTGAAGAACACGCGCAGTGGCGGTGGGCACAATGAATCTGAGGCCGAGGAAGAAGCATATACCCCTAACCAATATCAATACTCCATGCCCTGGGAGGAACAATTTAAAAAAAAAACAATTAACATTCTACGAAAAAAATCAATAAAATAAAAAGAGAGAAAGCACCACGTTGATAGCTACCTGGCGATACAGAAGGCTTTGTGTGTTTGATGTTGCGATTTCGGTAGAAGAATAAAAAGGCTTTGTGTGTTTGATGGTGGGATGAGAAGTGAAGCTAAAGAGTTTATATAGGCGTGGAAGATTAGGTTACGAAAGTAGTGGTGGCCAAGGTAAATATTCATGCTTTAATCTTTTTAATCAAATCATTCTAATCGGATTTTTTTTAGGAATATGCTTTAATTCCGATTTTGTATAGTAGTAAATAATTTCCTTAATTCAGTCGGTATGAATATTTGTCAACGATTTCTAAGGACAATATTTTTAAAAAAAAATCAAATAAAAACAATGAATGCTAATGGTGAATGAGTTCAATCTTTGATTTCCATTTCATTGTTTTCTGATAGCATTAATGTCTCAAATTTGTTATCGTAATCTTAGGGAATATTGCCGTAAATCTCTGTGTAGATATTTCATTGAAATATTTCAGCATTAAATGTTTTTTTTAAATGTATTTATAGCAAGTGACTAATATTCCTATAATTTCGATAAAAATGTATTAAATTCAGTTTGTTGTTTAGAGAAATAATTAATGGAAGATCCGATCGATATATTCTTAAGATATCGAATTGAATATCGTCGGCCTATAATAAAATAATCGTTTTTGATTTCAAAATATTAACTTAAATAGAAATGAAATGAGGATTGTTGAGATGTTTTAGAGATTGTGTCGTTGGGAGTAATTAATTGAGAGAAAAAATGTCCGAATAGAGATTATAGAAAAAAAGAACCAATTAATGTGGGAAGAAGTTAAGGAAATAGAGTTTAAATAGAATTTAAGAATTAATGACGTTTTTTATTACAACATTCCTTAAAACTCTTATCCTAGATCCGAATATAGTTAATCCCGGATAAAACCCGGATCCAAAAGACTTTTTGCAAAAATCCCCTGTAAAAATGTATATGTAGATTACCTTGAATAGATCTCTGCTTTGGCAACTCGTTTAGCTTCTTGTTTCTGTTTCACTTGTTTGTAATATTCATCTTTTGAGCCTTTTGATTCGCCATCATTATCAACCATGTCATTGTTTTCTCTCGTTTCCGCTCTAGGTTCTCATTATATTTCTTTGTTGTTTGTTATTATCTGTTTATTCTGTAGTTTTTGGTTATTTTCCGCTACTTGTATTCCTTGTAATTTCTGTCAAAACTTCGAAAATGTTATAAATACTTCATATTTTACCAACAACAAAAAAAAAAAAACAAAAAAAAACCATGTCATTGTTATAAACACCACCGTTAATTATCATTTCACATCTGATGCAAATGCCCCATTTTCATGTTATGTTCTTTAAGTTATAATCATGTTGTGTTCTTTAAGTTAACACTTTAAAACATAGTTTGGACAAGGACTTTTGTTATGAACATTGGGTAGCTTTGTAGATGTCTCTATGATCTCCTAGATCTCACTAACTTGTTGTAGCATAAGATGTCTTCTCTGATACCATTTGATTTTTGTGTGTGTGATTAAGGGATATGCTCACATTCGCAACAGCATAACAATATACGGATTACAATGATGTACAACTTTTAATCTTCTATTTTATATCTCAAACTGAAATTCATTTGCTTCTAAATTGGTAAGTCAACGGCTGCAAGAGTCTCTCAGAAAGAAATCTTCTGACCACTATGAGTCTATGATTACTTGTCAGATTCGATAAAGTAAAACATTTTCTTATGTTTTGGAGAAGTTTTAAATGAATATATTATAAATATAATTAAGGTATAATATTGATAGAAATTCTTGTTCCAATACACCGCCCTAATTCTTCAATTTGGCATACACTATCTATGATTACGTCTCTCTGATTTTATTTTATTTTGTCTAGTAGTCTTTCTGATTAAGTCGTTAATTGCTTTTTATTGTTTACGCAAGAGTATTATTATCAATATAAAAATTAAAAAATTGCTCTTTAACAAAATTAAACAATTGCTCTGAATCATAGGTGAAATAATATGGGTTATATCACTTGCTGACTTCAGCTATAAACCACATATATATTGATGGTTTGGAAAAGTTCACAAACAGAAGAACTTCACAGTGGTTTCGAGGAAAGTATTTACATAAATATTTCCCACAATTTACAACTTTGAGCTAGTCAATTTGATTTATAATATGTTAGATCCAAAGGTCCCATTCCGAGCCAATTAATATAAAACCAACTATATACTTAACATAAGATCCTAATTAGAATATTTATAGAGAAGAGAAAATGAACCGAGTTGACTCATGACAAACTGGGTCGAACCCGTATGTTGCAAGTGAAAATGGGCATACCATTTGATATAAAATTGTTGGCACAAAAATTTAACCTGGTTTACACCTGATAAACTCAAACCTAATCCGGTCTAAGAAGAAAAAGCATTAATTCACTGAAAATTTTCAGAATGAATCGTTTAATAAGAAGTCAATACTATTTTTTTAGAGGCGATTAGAAGCAGCCTTAAAACTTAAACGAGTGGAAGAACATTGTTTGTGTTTTTATGCAATTTAGAGTCTTTTTTTTTTCTTTTGGATTGTTTTTTCTTTTATCATTTCGATCATGATTATGCAAGAAACAATTCCTTGATCTTTTTGTTTTAGCGAGTAATGTATTAGTAAGTTGTTTTGTTTTAGAACTTTGGGCTTGATTAGAGAATTTGGTGACTAAATCATGATGTTTACTGTCAAGAAACCGCCAAAAAAAACAATTATTTGTCGTCTCTCTCCGGTTTCTTCTTTTTTTTTTTAATGAACTAAGGTATAGTTAAGTCTTTCTCCGGTTTACTAATGAATTTCATACCAAGTTGACTTCATGTTAGACAATAGACACACATTATACACGGATAGAGATACTTATAACCCGTCTAAAAGTTTCCTTGGGCATCAATTCACCATAGATTGGAAAAGGTATTTAACCTTATTATACAAAGTATATTTTTATTAGTGACACGGTAACTTGTCAACGGACAATCGCACCATTTACAAATATTACTTGTACTACATTTTGTTTGTATTAAATTAGCTAGTGCCCACCTGGCCACCTCCACTGTCCCTATATAAATGCAACAATGAAGCAAGACCATAAGAAGATAACCAAAAAGACTAGAGATTACAATGAGTTATGTTATGCCTAAGTCATACACTATGCAATGTCTTGTTCTATTGTCAGCTTTGTTGCTCTCATCGCAACTACTCTCCGTACAATCTCAGGAAGGGAAAGCTCTCTTCTCTTCCTGCCAAACTGTGAGAGGAAACTTCACCGTCAACAGCATCTTTGAAGTCAACCTCAAGTCACTTATCTCCTCCCTCTCGTCTCTTCCGCCGACCGAAGACGGGTTTTACAACGTTTCTTTTGGAGAAACCGATAATGAGAAAGTCAATTCTTTGGTGCTGTGCAGAGGTGATGTCAAACCCATTGAATGCATCGGATGCATTATTAGAGCCGGACAAGAGATTAGGGAACGATGTCCGAACGAGAAAGAAGCCATCATATGGTACGACAATTGTATGTTCAGGTATACTCAAACCTCACCTTCTCTTGGATTGACATATATTTAGATCATATTTTTAGAAAAGATTACTAAACAAAATTTATGTTTAGGTACTCAAACCGCACAATCTTGAACACGATGGAGACATCCCCTGGATATTCTTTTGCCACGGATTTCGATTTCCCGGGTGAAAAAGGTGCATGGGAGAACATGCTAACGACTTTATTAGAAGGGTTAATGAGTAGAGCAGCGGCGGGTGGGGAGAGGAAGAAGTTCGCCGTCTCTAAAAAGAGTGGGCCTTCCCTTCAAACGTTGTACGGTCTCATGCAGTGCACGCCCGAGATTTCGGAACGTGACTGCATTGATTGTCTTACGTGGAATATAGGTCGAATTCCGATTCTTTGTAATACAAAAATGGGTTGCAGGCAGGCAACCGTCAGCTGCAATTTGAGATATGCCACCTCACGGTTCTATGATCTGACAGCGGAGGAGCAACCACGGGCATTGCCGCCAGCCCCTCTTCCATCTCCTCCTCCTCCATCAAATGAGAGAGTGAGTGACGGAAAAGGTTTTGCTATAGATGACGTTAAAGGTGTCGTTATTATTGTTGGCGGCGTTGTCCTCCTTATCGTATCATGTGTTGTTATTGTCTTGACTCTGAAGAAGAAGAAACACAACCGCCAAAGTGAGTTGCGCACACATACACTTACATCTATATAGCTGAAAAGTGTACAACTTTCCTAACATTAATTATTGTGATGTACAGACGAAAGGAGGGAAGATTCCTTGAAATTTGAATTCAGTGCAATAAGAAGTGCAACCAACAATTTCTCACCCCTCAATGAACTCGGAAAAGGTGGATTTGGGAAAGTTTATAAGGTAATCTTACAAACCATAATGTAATACTCCCTCCGTTTATTTATATTTGTGTTTAAGGTTTTTGGCACACCGATTAAGAAATAATTTATTTTGTTTTTTTTTTAAACTAAAACATCATTTATCATCTACCTAAACACGATTCAATGAATAATAAAACAATTTGCATAATACAATTCGTTAAAATTATTTTTTTAAAAACAATTAATTTTGAATTGAAAGTTGAAACCATCGTCTATTTTAAAACAAAATATCTTTCCTAAAACATCAAATAAGAAAACGAAAGAAATCTTATATAATATGAGAAGGTTTCTTCTAAAGTTGCCTTAATATTTTGACATTTGGCGCTTCAAATGCTTGACATGTGTCATATTTTCATCTCTTAATACTGCAATCTATATTTATTGAACTCAATAAATATTTTTCCATTAATTTATTTTTCACTATTTTAAGTTTTAGTTTTAAGACCAATAAAATGTAGAGAATATAATTCAAAAATGACAACTATATTTCTCTTTAACCTTTATTATTATTAATGTGTTTAAGTATTCACATTAATTTACCATAATGAAACCAATAATCTTATTTGACACCAATATTGTGGAAAATAAATTTCATATAATAATTTACAATAAATTATTTTATGTATTTTCAGATTTGTAACCCCCATATACTAATAATTATTTATGTTGTTAATTCAATAATTTTTAGTAATCTTATTTGACACCAATATTGTGGAAAATTAATTTCTAATAGTAATTTACAATAAATTAGTTTATGTATTTTCAGATTTGTAATCCACATACTAATAATAATTTATGTTTTTAATTCAATGATTTTCTTATTAAATTATATAATTGGAAAAATTATATAAAAGACGGGTTTCACTCTATTCATATTGGTTGAGTTCAATGTATTGATGGGAAAAATTTATAAATATATATATATATATATTATAAGTTAATTGTAAACAATATGAATTTTAAAAAATATCATCATTTAAAAACACAGTTGTGTAACATGTGGTTATCAGAATTTCATACTAAAATGCATGATTTTAGGATAAGACTAATTAAAAACAAATATCACAATTAATTCCTCAAAATGTAGTACTAACTCTTATGTTATAAATAGTTAGTGTGATAAAAATATAGTTTCTCTTTGTACATATATATAGAGAAAATATAAAATATTGCGTCATATAACTCTCATAGCTATAAAAATTAATGGATGATTTGTGTTCTTTCATCTACATGAAGCATTATTTTTTTTACTTGATATACGATGATTTTTAGGGACTTTCTAATATTTTATAGTTTAATTTGTGTCTAAGTTTCAATTGATCCTCTATCTTTGCACAAGGATATTGCACACACCATTGTGATCCTCTATAATTCATGTGTTTTGTCTCATACATTACTTAAAATGTAACACTGTTAGAGGTCATATAAACTAACTGTTTTTTTAGTTAAAAACTTGAATGTAACACTAAGAATAAATGAATCATAACGTAACAAAAACAAACTAAAAGTAATCGTTCAATTCATTAAGTTAATCAAACGACAGTATTTAGAAAAACAAAACCGAATAAATAAAAAATGACCCGAAAGAAATCATATTACTTTGTAAAGTTAAATTTGAATTTAATTAATTTTCTGTTTCTATTTATACAATCTCATATAATTGAATATTTAATTTATAATTAATATTGTTAATAACTAAATTCGAATTTTTTATTTTTATGTTTGTAATTAATATTATACCACGTAACAAAATACAGGAAAATCCCTTCAAATATATATAAGCTTTGTTAACCATCCATTCATCTCCTATATGTTTGTGTATGTTGTTTGCTTGCTTATAAGGTATATTTCATTAACCGTATTGTACAATCATATGGTTGGCAAAATGGGGCCAATCGGGCTTTATTGGTTCGGGTGGATTTTGTCCGATTGACATTCCTCACTTGATAACAACAATATGTCCTGCAGGGTATACTTAATGGAAAAGAAGTAGCAGTGAAAAGGTTGTCCGAAAATACCAAACAAGGCGAAATTCAGTTTAAAAACGAGGTTTTGTCAATGGCAAACCTTTCACATCGTAATCTTGTCCGACTTGTGGGCTTCTCAGCCGAGAACAATGAAAGGGCTCTCATCTATGAATTTCTACCCAACAAAAGTCTTGACAACTTCATCTTCGGTACTCTCTTCTTTTATTATTCCCATATGAAAAATCTTGGAAATGGTCTAAAGAATCTTTATGCGTGTACATAGATAAGGCGTTGGGATGGGCAACACGCTACGGAATCATAGTAGGTGTCGCTCGTGGAATTCTTTACCTTCATCAAGATTCCCATGCGCGGATAATTCACCGGGATCTTAAACCAGGTAATGTATTGCTAGACAAGGACATGACACCAAAAATCGCTGATTTTGGTTTGGCTAAATTGTTCGATGAGAGCCAAATAAGCCAACGGTTTACGGAAAACATCATGGGGACCGAGTAAGTGCCAAGGTTTTCTCATGATACATGTACATTCAGGATGAAGTTAAGTGACTAATGTTATATGATTATTCAGAGGCTATATAGCTCCAGAGTTTCGAAACGAAGGGCGGATCTCGTTTAAGACAGATGTTTACAGTTTCGGTGTGTTGGTTCTTGAGATCTTGAGTGGTAAGAGTATTTGGAATTCGAAAATGGGGGAGAATGGGGAGGATCTTATAACCTATGTAAGTATACTCAAACAAAATAATCTCACTGATATGAATCTACATAATACGACATGATCAGTACGTAAATAGTTTATCGCGGTAATATTTTTTTCCGTGTAGGCAAAGAGGATGTACAAGAAGAAACCACTGAAACCAGAGGACTCGAACTTAGATAAACGTGATAAGGAAGATATATTGACTTGCATTAGCATTGGTCTGGGATGCGTTGAATATAATCCTTCAGACAGACCAGAAATGAGGAATGTTGTTCAGATGCTAGAAAAAACCAATCGTTCTCAAGCAGCATCAGAGCAGAGAACTACAAAAGGAAGAAAGTCAAGAGTAAATGTTTAAGTGTGATTGAATTAGAAAGTTTGCTTTTTTTGTGTGTGTGTGTGTGTGTGTGTGTTTGAATTTATCATGTTACTAGTCTGCTTAAACAACAATAATAATTGATGGATGACAAATTGAGAATTAGTATTCTTATAAAGATTGAAAACTCCGAAATTGTAACCGAGAAGAAGGAATATTCGAATGAAATGATCAAGTGATTACAAAAGAAACCAAACACCGTTGCTAACCTTGCAACCATTAAAGGAGGAAACAATGAGTTCATTATTTATTACATTGAAACTGCAGCAACACGAGTTGTTGTTGCCTGAAGAACCTTGCCTGAAGAAGACGAATCAACAACAGCTACTCTTTTGCGTCCAACACCAACGCCATTCTTCTTTAACGGATCAAACTCTTGTTTCTCAAAATTCACACCAAGTGGACTCCGGTCACGTTCTTGTTTGTTTGATCTCGCACTCACGCGATCTGTCGATTCAGCTGAATTCGGTTCCCATGAAGAAGACGATGAGTATCCCTGTCGCTGCACCACACAACTGCTTCCCGTGAAACTGTTGCTTCCTGAAGATTCTTGCTCTTCCATTTCCTCCAATGATGAACCACCTCTCTTAACAGTCACATACTTCTCGAAACCTGGCTCCATTAGATCCGCTTTCTTCGCTGCTGCGGATGTGAAACTGACCTCTGTTCTTTGATGTTGATTCGTAGTGGAGTTAAGATCTGCAACTGCTTCAACAATAGAACAAGCCTTGGACATAGTTGAACTTAAGGCATTGACATTAACACTCTTCTGGTGGAAATTCTGAATGTCTTCTAAAAGCAAAGCTGTGTAAGATGGAAATGTTGATCCTGCAGTTGCATTGTTACTGTTAACATTGTTAATGTCGATATTGTTTGAGAGCAATGCTTCGGGACTGAAGTCGAAATCACGAGATTTCCTCAAAGATCTGCTCCTGCTCACAATTTGAGGCTTAGCCAATTCAGTTCCAGATGACAACACTATCTTACACTCTTCAACTGCCTCTTGTTGCTCTTTGATTGCACGACTCGGACTTGCGGTTCTTCGGATTGGCGCTTGAGTAGCAGTTTTCGTATTCATCATCACAGGATTCAACTTCTGAAAACACAATCATAAGAAACATTCACTCCAACAATACTAAATACTTAAATTAGATTCAACTTCTGATACACAAAACACTAAAATCTCCTAATTCCATTTCTTTCCAACAATACCTGAGCAACGAAATTTCCAGATTCTTTAATCAATCCTTGATTGTCAGTGTCTCTGTTCATCATCCTTTTGTTACAATTGGTGTTACCAGCACCTTGAGAGAGTGGAAACGCTACAGAGTTTGGATCAATCTCACCCAATGGATTCCTCCTATACGGAGAATGCTCCGTTTTCCGGCTAAGCTTCGACGGCGAAGGCTGACTCGCAGCTCTCGCCGGTGACTGAGACCTCGGAGACGCAGCTTTTCCAACATTTCTCTTAACAGTAATCCGTTTCACAGATCCATCTCCATTGTTACCTAAAGCCTTATCTGTTGCAGGAACAGATACAAATTTCCCAGGTCTATTGTTACTCGAATTCACAGAATTGCCACTGCAATTAGGGTTTATCTCCGATCTTCTTCCCGGAGATCTACTCACCCGTCTACTTCCACCACCACCATTACCACTTCCTCTCTCTCTACTTCCCGATCTATAACTCTTCGAATCATCCCTCTCTCTACTCGGAGTTCGTCTTCTCCGTTCCCGAGGCGATTCTCCACCACGTTGACGCTGCCGATGAATCCTCCTCTCAGCTTCTTCTTCTTCTCCGCCATCTTCTGCATCCGCGTCACCACCGTTCTGATCAAAATCAAAACTCCTCTTAGATCCAGAATATCTCCTAGTTTTCGCAGCGGCTGAGTTACTCCGACTCAATCTCCCACACTGAATCAAAATCGCATCAACATCAACCGGATTATGATTCGAACCAGTTGACTTCACATCGGAAACAGAAGAATCCTCCGGATCTGTCGTCGTCTTCGATGATTTCTCATGGCTTCTCCGATGTTTTATCACGAACACTTCTTTTCTCGGCTTGATATTCTCTTCTTGTATCTCTGTTTCTTCATTCTTTGGTTTCGATTCCTCTACTGTGAGCTTCTTCTCTTGTGCTTCTAGTTTCAGAGGTTTATCAATGGCGGATTTGTTCGGATCTGGTGATTTAACGGAACAAGATCCGTTAATCGGAGAAGAAGAAGAAGCTGGAGGAGGATTTTTGCTGAGACAGCAACCCATTTGCTGAAGAAATTTGAAGCAGACGCTTGAAGAAGAAGATGAAGAGAGCGTTTTTGAGAGAGAATGAAGAAATTCAAAAGTTCAAATTCTGAGGAGAATAAACTTTTTTAGAAATGTTTATTAGAGAAAGAGACAGGTCCCTTTAGTTTATTAATATCTTGAATATGTCTACTTACTTTCATTATTTACATATAGCTCCCCAAATAAGAAACTTCTCTTCACTCTTTAGTCTTGAGTCGAAATTGTGGACTAGATTGATAACTTTGAGAAGTTATGGGGTGAATTGAAATTGACTTTATTTGTTTAAAGGTAGGTGACAATGACATTTTGAAATATTTAACAGTTGGTAAAAGAGAGCCGTTATACGTGTGGAAGAGAGATAGAGCAATCGATGAATATTAATATTTTACCAAATTAGTCCTCTGAACCTTTTTTTTTTGTTCTTTTTTTTTCAAAAGTGAATACATTTTCTTAAAAGTTTGAAATAACCTTTAAATTATGCAAGTTTAAATTTCCAACGGCTAAATGCATGTTATGTGTTTTTTTTGTCTGATTATGAAAAGAATCTTGGAAGGACTTGGTAACTACAGATAAATGGCATTCATTTGAATGATACTTAACTAATAATTATGAATAATGTTTCACAGTTAAAGTAATGAAAAACAAAAACAAACATAAGATAATTATTTTGAAGCCCATCATGAAAAGAAAACAAGAAGTAATCGAAAGCCCAAATGACAAATAGACAAAAACATTCCGTCAATTTTTTTGTTTTTGATAAAAATATTCTGTCATTAATAAATATAAAGTGTAATTTCCATTCTCAGTTTTGTTTATTTATTTTCGTTTGATAATCAAATGAAATAATATAGATTTAAAAGCTAGGGTACAAGCTATAGTTCAAATAAAACAATATGAGATAATTCTGTATTTTCATTTTTACTGACAACCATCTTCTACAACATGCTGAATTGGGAGATGTTATGTTCTTGTCTTCAGTGGCATAAACTGCTCGGGTGCAATGAGTTCCTTCTAATTCAGTTATCAATTTTTTACAATCACTATCTCGTAGTGAAAATTTACCTATACTTTTAAACTAAATGTATCATAATTCATAAAACAAATCTTTAAAGATAATTGCTGTAATCCAAGTCTCCTTAGTTGGCTCCTTCGAGTTGCTATTCTTGAATTGCATCAACAAGGACTATTTTTGCTTCTTCCATCAAATAATAGTGATGGTGTATTTAAATTACATAATATTTTTTATAAGTTTTTTAGCACTATTTATATGTACCATAATCATAAACAATTTTTTGTTTTTGGAAGAAAAAAAAAAAACTAAAAGTAAACCAAATATTCTTCTGTGGAAGCCTCTTTGGTTCATTTGTTGACAAATAGTTAATTAATGCTTTTACACCAAGAGATCTAGGGTTCGATCTAAAATACTGCGATTTATTGATAAATTTGCAGATTATTTGAGGTAATTGTGCATGAGATCTCCAGCAATGTACAATTATAATCGTTCGCCAGGATTCTATGCAGAGAGGGAAGTGTAGTCAGGTCATGGATCATTGAAGGTGTCCGTCAAGAGCATGAAGAAAGAAGTGTCGTTTGTCGTGGATCTAATATGGATCGGAAGAAATTGTCCGTTGTAGAATCGTCTATGTAACAGTTCTCATAATTTGCAATAAATAATAAATCTAGACGTTAAAGAAAAAAACCAAATATTCTCCTAAACCAGGAATTAGAAAGATTGCATATAAGTTATAGTATTAGTTTTTTTATAAATTACATAACGCTTCTTAGAAAAAACTTACATTTCGATATTAGCTTTTGATCTTTCCTAATGGAAGAAAATAATAGCCGAATGAAAACGAAATAAACAATATAAAAAAGCTTTATGATTTGAAATCAATGAAAAGAATAATGAGGGGCTAAAAGAACATAGACATCTTTGATTTTTATGGGTCATTCACTTCTAATAGCACGTCTCCGACCGGTGGGTATTGGAGAGATGGAACAACATGTGATACATAGCCTAGCATCTTTCTCCTACCCACCGACTGAAGACATTCGGTGCATATTAGAAGTGAAGGATACACAAAATTCGCAGGCATCTACGTTATTTTAGTCCCTCCTTATTCTTTTTTTTTTCATTGATGTTAAATCATAATGCTTTCCTTAGAATTATTTTTCTCGTTTTCATTCATCTAATAGGATAATAGTTTGTTTCCTTTGAGTTCTCTAAATTTACGTCTAATTATGTAAGAATCATAAAAAACCTCAAGTGTTGTTTTGTGGTGATATTTCGAGTTATGCAGTTATGCAAAAGACCTGAACCATTGCCTTTGTTTTGCTCACTAAAGAAAATGTGCAATCCCACGAAATTAGATAAGTTTTCATCCCTAATTTCATAATACTTTCATGAAGCATTTGAGATCAACAACAATGGTACAAAAAAGCTTAGTGATTTACCAATTTGTTTTCAGTATCTTATTGATAGCTTCTTCACACCCATATAAACCTCATTACTAGCTTGCATGTAGTTGAAAGATGATCACCCCGAATACATAAGAGAAGGTGTGAATCTTTCTTAATTCTCGTTTCAATTGCTAAAACCCCTTGACGATAACTATGTGAAGAAGAGCACTCGACCACTGAAAACTACAAAGGTATTACATGATCTATCTTCCGAAAGGAAGAGAACATGAAACCATGATGTTTATAGACAAGTTTAGTCGATGGGTATTCATGAAACATTTTAAT